TGGTCACTGGAATATATTTTTATCTTTGAAATTAGTGCAAATACATCCAAAGTTATAAACAAATTTTATCTGGTGCATATTGGTAAAACAGAACCTCCTTTCCCCCCCGTGAAATAACAGTGATATCTGGAAAACGCATCTTTTTGCAATACCTTCCCAAAAGAAAGCATCAATGAGCATTTTAAATTGTTAGGCTTTTGGACCAGGCAAAATAGAATGATGTTCTAAAAAGATCACTATTTCTGTCATAATAAGAGACAAGATTGGGAAATGAAGAAAACTCCTGATAGGTGTATACAGTAATAACTAACACTATCCCTGAGACATGAGCGCTGCAGAATAGATTGTTGTACAGAGGATGTATCATAAGCAAGGAGCACACACAGGAATCCATAAACCAAGACAAAAAGTACAGACGACAAGTCATGTTATTTCATTGTTTAATAGAAAGGCTAAGACTTCTCCTACATTGAGGGGTACAATGATTATGGAGGTTTTTCCCACGGATGAATAATGTGGTTCCTTACGGATTTGGCTATCTGGGAATTTCTGGAGGACTTCATTAAATGAACGGTACAAGATCCTAATATTTGGTGACATTTTCAGGTATATAAGTAATACATGCTTCATGTTTTCATTTGCCTTTGTTTTTTTTTTCCTTCTGGAAAATTAAAAGAAAGCAGAAATATCACCTGAACTTTCATGAAGCTGAGCCTTTAGAGGTTCTTCTCCTGTGCATATTCCATAGGAGCAACTCAGCACTCATCTTCTGCCCAGGACTAGGCAGACTTCAGGAGTAAGGTATTCCTGTGCTTATATATTTTGGAGTCTTATCTAATAGACATTGTCAAAGTATGCCAGGTACATCAAATAAAATTCTTACTGCTTTCTTTTGGTGACCCCCATTTTATCTCATTCCCCAAAGGTTAGAGAAAGTACGGGATCTGTCAAGCAGAGACTGGACTTCTACCTCCTCGGTTTGAAAGTGATGCTTCAGATGAAGAGCCATGCCCTGCTTTAGCCTTTGAAATTATAGCTGTAAATATCTACTTTCAGGTGAGCTCCAAGGTTCTGGAGCAAAAGCTGCTGTGATTGATTCTGTTTGCCTGCAGTTCTCGAGAGATATCTGAAAACTGCATTCAGACAGTGGCTATATATCAGAAACCCTCCTATGCTCAGCATTTCCTAGTGGTTTCTTCCCAGCGTGTAGCTTTGGAGTGCTATTCTAAGGTACCTGCCTCCGAGTGTTGAATAAAGAACCAGATATCAAATATTTAAAATACTTAACTAAGATTAACAAAGCCTCCTGTTTCCTGTTAAATAACTTTAAGTATTATCCTTTTGTCAGACACGATCTTTCTTGCTCTTAATATTTTAGATATTTTTCTCAAGTTAATCTTCTTTCTCTCCCCAAATATTTCAGTTTTGCCTACTGTCCAAACCCTATGCTTCCCTCTCTTTTTTGTACCCCCTCTAAAATTCTCTTTATTTTCTTCCTGCATTTCCAAAGGTTACCCTGAAGCTCTGCCTTCATTGCTGTAATCTTTTCTTAACCCATTTCTTTCACCTGTGTGCAATATCTCCCTTAATATCCCAGGTTCTCCTTATAACTTGTCTCTTTTTTCCCCCTGTTGTCTTCTCCAAAATAAATTACCTTTCTTTTTCTACCTGGTCCTCATAACACATTACAATACTCCTTTTTTGTCAGTTACCAACCACTTGCACCTTCCCATTTGCCTTCTCCCAGCACCATCCACCTACTCCTTCTCCTTTTTTCCTTGGATTCCAAAATCTTGATTCCTGGGAAGGAAGTGCTGTTGATGGTGTGTGTGACTGTGGGCAGTCAGCAGCTAACTGAAGTCCAAGTAGCTAGATAGCCAGTGTTCTCCGTAATAAAGTCTTTCATTTCTGTACAGAGTAGGTAATACAGTGGGATGCTGGAGTGGAAACAAAGCATTAAGTAGAGTAGGAAAAGGAAGAGGCTTTCATCTGCTCTCCTGAGTACCTGCCTGTGCCCTGCTGTGTAAAGACATGTCCCCCTGCAATTGAATTACACCTGTGCTTGCTGCACTTCTCATACTATTTTGGATTAAAGCACAGTGTCATAACAGATTTTTTCTACAGGGAATATTTCATCTAAACTAGGCTGTACTAAGTAGTAAATAACTGTAAAGAAAAAAAGCTGTCAGTGTAGTTCTAGCGGTTTAGGTTGCAACAGGGTAAATCTTTGCAGAGGTGTACTGATTGCATGTTCTGTGCTGTGTCCTAAGTGGAGACCCTGCGTGTTGGATGAATAAGAATTTGCTGCCATTCTGAGTCAACACTCAGCAGTGGCAGAAAGTGCATAGAATCTATCTAACTTTCATTTTCCAGACTAACTAATGGTAACAAATGCCATCTCTTCATATTCAAAAGATTTGCATACATTTAGTAAGAATAGATGACTTGTGTATATGTAAAGCCTTATTATTCACTTTTGGATTCACAAAAAAAATAGCCCCTGGCACATGATTTAGACTCTTTATTTTTCAAAATGAATAACAACCAACATATGATTTTGCAATATTTCAGGCTAATTTGAGTAAAGCCATGCAATTCAAATAACTTATTTTTAAGATTTTAGGCAAATTTAATTTATGGAGAAAAATGATTGCCACTTTGAGAGGAGATCTGTGTTTCCTCTATTCTTCCAGGCAGTGGCTGAGATTAGAAAATGACAATAAACGGCTGTTTCTATACCACTTGTTCACTGATATTTAATGTTTGTATTTCCAGACCCATTCAGATATCTAATTGAAACATTATGGGAATGAGATCAGGAACATATTCTTGCCATCTCCCAACTCAAATGGGAAGGAAAGATTGAGATCAACTGTAATGCACATAATTCATTTTAGTAAAAGAAGCTGGAAAGAATAGTAGCTTATAGCATAACAAAATGTTGTCCTGATTACTCAAATTGGATAAAGTTCTGAATTAAATTAACTGATTTTCATAAAGATTTTAAGACAGCTTTCACAGTAAAAACCTAAGGCAATAGCATCCATAATAATATACACAAAATCACAAAAGAAGAAGGAAAAAAAAAGGCCACTGGAAATATAAAAAGACTTACTGAAAAGAAATTAAAGACTGTCATTTCATCATGAAAAATTCTTGTCTGGCAGCTGTACAGTCCTATAATTATCTCCAGTACGGGTTTCACAGGTGACAGTGGAGGTGTTTACACCGAGCAGTTTTATGTGCAGTGTGCCCCTACACGGGAACAGCTACCTCTCGGGCAAGAGGGTTTCTACCTCTCTCCAGAAACCACTGTCTAGGCTGATGGTTGCTGTGACAGATTTTGCAGCTCAGGAACTGTGCAATGCGGAGTGCTCTAAGACAAGAACTCGGTTCACACAGGGCAGAGAGCCATAATCAGACTGTACTAACCTGAGTTAGTAACCTGACAACAAAGCTTTCTGAATTGCCCTAACCTGCCAAGGACTTGATTATCTGAAATTCACGTAAGTCAGTTATTTGACTAAGATAAGAATAGGGCGACAGGGAGAGGAGGCGGGAGAAGAGAGTGATATTATCTTGAACTATGCTAAAAATAGAAGAGCACTGTATAGTTACTCGCGCGATCAGATTCTTCGAGCAGCCAGGTGGTGTGTTGAACCTCTTGCCATTTCACCTGGTAACTGTATAACTAAGGTCACTGCTGCATTTTTCATAGGTTAAATGCAAAAGTATAGTGATAAAATACAAATAGCAGCTTGCAAAAAGTGCATGATTATTTACATTACCTGACACACAAACAGTTGAGATGCCAATTTACAGTTATGTGCCTTCACACAGATCAAATGTCACCCCACCTCTTTTTTAAGGTAACTAATCAGTTATTTCTGCAGAAATAAACACAGGAAGGTTGAGGATTGGCACATCTACTTGCAGTCCTCATCTATAATTTATCAACAGTAGCGTGCATTTGGAGGAAATCCTTCCCCTTCATCTAGTAAAATCAGCTACCCAGACTACTGCATACATTCCTGTTTGGTTTTTTTGCTCACTGATCTGATATTTTATCAAATTGACATTCTCATCTGGAAATCTGGACTAATTTAGTTTCATGAGTGACATCTCACATCACAGCTTTCCGTCAGACTTATTCTAATAGCAAATGGTTGGCTGCTATATTGCCCATTTGCATGGTCTGTGCTACAGGTCAGTCTAATTTGGTAAGAACTGTTTCCAAAAAGGAAAAGTATTAAAAAAGATTTTCTTTGTTTCTTGGCACCTTCATGTTGGCACACCCTTGGTTTTCCTCCCCTTTGCCATGCTGCTTCACTTTCTCTGCTCGCTCTATGCTTTAGAAAGTGAAGAGTTTGGATTTCAACAACAGGCAGGCCAAACACATCATGCTTTTACTACTTCAAGCTAAAAGTAAATATGCATCATTAACATGGCTTGGAGAGTGAACTTACTGAGAGTACACTGAGCCGCTCAGAGTAAGTGATAGCTTCAGGCTACACTGGTCAATGAGACGTAAAAATAGCACCAGTCACAGAGCACATTTTCATGACTTAGTGAGGCTTTTTCCTGTCAGCAATTTGATTGAACATTAAGAAGAAATGATTTAGGATTGCAGGTAGTCTTCAATCTTGCTGATATAACAGTTACATACATCCTTTCCCTCCCTAAATATGATTAAATGGAAAATAGACTCACTTTAATGCTGAACAGGTAGAGAAAAACAAAAAGAGCGGAAGAGGCAGGAAAACACCGATGCGCGCACGCGCACACACACGCACACAGAGTCATACCCACAGACAGGCCAATGCTTTGTTAGCACTGCAGCCTTTCAACATGAAATGCAGCACTTTTACATTTCTGCCTTTGTCAAACACAGTTCATTACTGCTTGTTTGCCTCTGCCCCATGG